GCAACCTCCGCCTCCTGGGTTCAGGCAATTCTCCTGCCTCAACCTCCTGAGTAGCTGGGATTACAGGCACGCGCCACCATGCCCAGCTAATGTTTTGTAATTTTAGTAGAGACGGGGTTTCACCATGTTGACCAGGATGGTCTCGATCTCTTGACCACCCGCCTCGGCCTCCCAAAGTGCTGGGATTACAGGCTTGAGCCACCGCGCCCGGCAAAGTGGGTACTTCTTAATCAGTAATAGTCACAGTCTTGAAGGGGAAAATAACCCCAAGCTGCTAATAAATGCCTGTCCTTCAGGATAAAATTAAATTATTCAATGCACTGGGTTGACTTAACACTGCCAAATAAATAATACATCAAACTTTAAGCGTCGGTGTTTAATTTCATAAGACTAATTTCTTAGTTATAGCTGCCAAGACAGATAATTGGCCCTTAGTGGGCAAAATGTGCCTTTCTTAAAAAAAAGTAAAAAACAGGTTTTAGAAAGCTTATTTTATTTAATTTTCCAACACACATTTGCTTTTCTTTTGGCTTAAGCGCAGTTAAGTTGCAGGAACTGTTAACTCTTCCTAAGTAAAAATGCTTCCTAGGAGAGAAGAGGAAAAAGGAAAAGGGAACAACACACGGAAAAAACGAGGACAACCTATTCGCCAAAGGACAGGTTTTGTACCGCACCACCTTCTTCTAAAACTGCAGATTTCCAGAAAGCCGATTTCAAACAAAACGGGAGGAATGGATAAATTCCAACTCTCCAAGCGCTGCAGACCATCCGGAAGCAAATGCTGGCGGCCTTGGGGAACGATGGAAACGAGTAGTAGCAGCAAGGCTCTCTTCGTCCCATTCATTGACACTTGATAGTACTTCCGCGCCACTCACCTTCGTTCTAGCTGAGCGCAAATCACACCAGGGAAGCTGGAGGGAGTCGGACACACACCCGGACACACACCCACACCCACACCCACACCCACACCCACACCCTTGGCCCCAGAGCTGTAAAGAGCGGTCCACGGAATCAGGGGGAGGCCGAAACCCGGGAGTCGCTGGAAAATCTCACTGCAAAATCTCCCCGCTTTCTGAGGCTGGAGCCGAGAAGAACGCCACAGGACAAAGCAGGGGAAAAGGGGGCACCTCCCCCTTACCTTGATGGCTTTCTCCATGTCGCTTTCCTCCGACATGCTCCGTGAGGCCCCCGCAGCCGCGAAAGGCGGAGGCTGCTCAGCCGCCCTGTCCCCGCGAGGCCGAGGGAGCAAAGGGCTCGGCACTCCGGCCCCTGGGCCTCGGGGCGACGGGCAGCAGCCTCCCCTGGGGACCGGTGGGGATGAGGGCCCTGGTGCCGGCTCTGCTTCGGCGGGTGGCTCTAAGCTGGCGGCAGCAGCAGCGGCGGAGGCGGCGGCCCCTGGGGACAAGCCTTTGTGCTGGGCCCCGCGCGGCCGCCTCCTAGCCTCATCCCCGGCAGGGGAGGCAGGCTCCCGGGGTAGGGCGAGGCGGGGAGGGCCTCGACCTGTGGCGCTGTGCAGGGGCCTCGCGGGGCCGCCGCTTAGGCCCGGGCTCGCCAGGTCCTAAGGAGGAGCCTGCGTCTCCGCCTCCGCCGCCTGCACCGCAGCGAAGCCGAAGCCGAAGCAGAGCTCGCCGCCGCTGCTCCCGCCACCGCTTCAGCGCCACACATCGCCGGGACACCCGCGCCGGGCAGCCCCGCCGGCCGCCCTCACGCACGCGCTGTGTCCCGCGGGAGCTCCGAGCCGCCCTTCCTGTCGCCCAGCTTCGTGACTCCACGGCCCCACGCGCCCCTCGCTGCCTTCCGCTAGGGCTTCCGAGCCGCCCCCTAGCCGTGCACCCGACTTGCAGGCGCTGGCCTGGGCCTCCCTAAGACGCGCCGCATATAGGGCTGGCCCCCGGGCCTTCCGCGGCGGAGGCGCTGCACTAATGACGTCATGGGCGACCGGACTGGGCTGGGCCACCGGAGGTCGCTCCCGGACACGCTTGAGTGCGCATGCGTTGGGGCCTCAGCCTTTATCCTAGCTGCGGAGATTCACGCCTGGGAGGGGCTGTTCGGGAAGCGCTCTTCAGAAAGGGAGGTCGACCCAGGAAAGAGAAGAGAGGACTGAAGCACGAGAGTCCTGCCGTAAGGAAGCAGGATTGTGTAGAATACATAATATCAGTAGCAGCTCTGTTTACGGAGCATTAACCTTACGTGGAGTTCTTTGCATTACCTGCTTTCATCTTTACAGGGTAGCCATTTGGCGTTTGTGTGTGAATGTTCCCATCCCTAGTTTGCAGATTGGGTAACTGAGGCTCAGAGAGCTGGACTAGTTTGTGCACAGCCGAGAAGTGGTCAAGCATAGAATGAGAACCCAGGTTTGCGCTCCCTACCCTCCACTGATAACCTGTCACAGGGCCTTGCAAGAGCTTTTGACTAATCGCCTCTCAATGGTTTTTCATTCACTTATTAATTGCACATCAGTCTGTGCCAAATATACTAGACATTGGAGAAACAGTAGGAACAAGACACGGTACCGGCTCATGGATCTTTCAGGAAAAGGAAGTAGGAAAGCCCGAGTCTGATGCTAAAAAGAACAGAAACAGGGTGCTGAGGTAAAAGAATAACTGAATGTGGGGACTGCTTCGTATTAGATGATTAAGGAAGGTCTCTTCTGAGGTAACATTTAAGCTGAGACCCCTAAGGAATGAGAAAAGGCAGGCTATTGGAAATCCAAGGAAAAGATTTCTGGGCAGATAGGCAAAAGTTTTAAGGTGGAAATAAGCTAAATGTGTTCAAGGATCAGAAAGAAGGTCATTGTAGCTGGAGTAGAGCAAGTAGGAGACTAATAAAGGAAGGATGAGGTTGAATGCTGGGCGCGGTGGGTCACGCCTGTAATCTCAGCACTTCGGGACCCCAAGGCGGGCAGATCACCTGAAGTCAGGAGTTCGAGACCAACCTGGCCACCATGGTGAAACCCCATCTCTATTTTTAAAAAAGAAAAAAAATTAAGAAAAGGATGAGGTTGGAGATGTGGGCAGGGGCTGCATCATATGTTGCTTGGAGGGTCAAAATCAGGACTTTGGATTTTATTCTAAGCTGTTGTAAGGTTTTAAACTAAAGAGTGGTGTGATCAAATTTGTTTTAAAAGATCACACTGAACTGGGTGTGGTGGCTCACGCTTGTAATTCCAGCACTTTGGGAGGCCGAGGCAGGCAGATCACGAGGTCAGGAGATTGAGACCATCCTGGCCAACATGGTGAAACCCTGTCTCTACTAAAATACAACAAATTAGCTGGGCGTGGTGGTGGCACGCACCTGTAGTCCCAGCTACTCGGGAGGCTGAGGCAGGGGAATTGCCTGAAACCGGGAGATGGAGGTTGCAGTGAGCCGATATCATGCCTGGGCGACAAGAGCAAAACTCTTTATCAAAAAAAAATCACTCCGCTGTCTAGAGAATGGAATATAGGCAAGCAAGAATGGAAACAGAGAGATTATTAGGAGGCTATTGGAGAATAATGCAGATGAGAGATATTACACTGAACTAAGGAAGTGGTAGTAAAGGTGTAAAGAAGATGGATTTTTTGGATTTCGCGCCAAACTTGGCCTCACGTCGTGGTGTAGTGAGCGGGCTCAGTGCTCACTCCTGCTGTCATGGTTCAGTTGCTAAACTGCATCGTCGCTGTGTCCCAGAACATGGGCATCAGCAAGAATGGTGACCTGCCCTGGCCGCCGCTCAGGAATTAATTCAGGTATTTCCAGAGAATGACCACAACCTCTTCAGTAGAAGATAAACAGAATTTGGTGATTATGGGTAGGAAGACCTGGTTCTCCATTCCTGAGAAAAATCGACCTTTAAAGGATAGAATTAATGTAGTTCTCAGCAGGGAACTCAAGGGACCTCCACAAGGAGCTCATTTTCTTGCCAGAAGTCTGGATGATGCCTTAAAACTTACTGAACAACCAGAATTAGCAAATAAAGTAGACATGATTTGGATAATTGGTGGCCGCTCTGTTTATAAGGAAGCCGTGGATCACCCAGGCCATCTTAAACTGTTTGTGACAAGGATCATGCAGGACTTTGAAAGTCACACGTTTTTTCCAGAAATTGATTTGGAGAAATATAAACTTCTGCCAGAATACCCAGGTGTTCCCTCATGCCCAGGAGGAGAAAGGCATTAAGTACATATTTGAAGTATATGAGAAGGATGATTAATATGAATGTGTTTTCTGGTTTAAGCTGCTCCTCCTCCCTCTGAAAAAAAATTATGCGTTTTTACATTAGAAAAAAAGACTTTTTTTCCTTCTACAAGATCTTACGGAAGCTTTTCTCTCATTTTTTTCTTTCCCCTTTTTCTCTCTTTCTGCAAAGAAAAAAAAA